CTGGGGGTTTTCTGGGTCACTGATTACATATCTAAAGTCATTTACCAAAAATTCAAAATGGCGGATCCAATATGGCGGACGAAAATTTAAAAAAATCGGTAGATTTCTATGTAACTGGGTATCTGGGGATTTTCTGGGTTGCTGATTACAAATCTAAAGTCATTTACTTAATTTACTTTATTTACTTCGGAACGAGCATTTTCATCAGATATTTCTTTCAATTTACTAATCACATAATCACGGACACCTTGTTGTCTTTTAGAAGTTTCAGCAACACTTCTCCAAATGTCAAACAACTCACTTCTTACGATTTTATTTACCGTGACTAAAATTTAAGATCACAGCAAGAAACACAAATAAATTTCAGAAAAAATTTTATAAAGCGCTTAAAGATTTGCATGCCTGTTTTATAATTTTTTTAATTTCAGAAAGCAGAAAATTCGCGAGGTACTATTTTTTTTAACTCTTACATAACCAAAGGTTTTATAACTCCAAGTATTTTTCTGTTTTAACACACAACCCCTCCCCCCTCTCCCCCGTGGATCCGCCACTGATCTTATATTTATATTCAGATACATTCCTGTTAATAATTACTTTTGAATTTTGAGATTTGACATACCGTCACTAAAATGTAAATATCTAAGCCAATTGGTTAGACTTGGTTATCGAACTTACCCTCTGCATTTGCGAAGGTGTAAAGATTAATATGCAAGTGGTTTTATAATGGCCTTCGGCGGCCTTTACTTTTCCTACTCTTTAATTTATTTTTTTAATTAATCAAAACGACGATTTTTCAGAATAAATTTGCTTATACCAATGTGGACATAAATTGCGTTATGACCCCTGAATCTATGGCGGAATAAGTGTAATTTTTTGTTTATAAAGTCAATTTGCAATTATGCAAATATTTGTGAGTGCAATTAGCAGTCTTTTAAGTTAAATTTCAGCTTTTAAAATAGAGTTCTCAAATAGGCGGCGTTGACTTACCTTTTTTTGTTTGTTTTCATATGTTAATGCTTTAATAAATGCAATTTCTATTTGAATGTATTGTCAGGAATGTATTCCAAGTACCATTAAGTATTTTAAAAACAAAAAAATGTTGACTTTCGTCCAGCCAGATCTGCTATCCGAACCACTGTGGAGCGTTTCGTTAAAGATTTGGCTGCTTGATATAAACAAGTTTAGTAATCAAAGTGGTTGTGAATTTAATAAGTGAATTTAAAAATTAACAATTTATACGTATGTGTGTATGAACAAAGAAAAATTCTGTGCACATTATACATTAGCATACTTAAAGAATCGTTGCAGGTAAGTACGGCATTAAAATGTGATTTCAAAGATTTTTCAATCTCTGTTTAAACAGTCATGCCTCGACAGAGAAGGAATTTATCTGGAAGGGTTGGTCGGAATACCAACCGTTGTCGAATGAGGAGTTCGCGAGCTTCCAGAGGGTCACAAGCGAGTACATATAAATTAGCTCTTAGCGCTGCTCGGCCTGATTTAAATTACCTTGGGTTGCTAAGAGAAAGGTGTGCATATTGTAGAGCGTTTCATTTTGAAACTACAACAGTTAAAAGCGAACTTGGCTCATGTTGTCATAATGGCAAAGTTAAACTTTCACCATATGTTCAATCGCCATTCATTAAAAACCTTTTATTCCGAAATGATGAAAAATCAATAAATTACAAACAAAATATTCGTTATTTTAATGCTGCTTTTTCAATGGTGAGTTCAAGTGCAGTAGTTGAAAAATGTAGCTCCGCTGGGCCATATTATTATAAAATTAATGGCCATGTACACCATCGTATTGGAACTTTGAAGCCAAACTCAGAAAGGCGACCAGTTTATGCTCAAATTTATATGTATGACACCGAAGAACCTACTCGAATTAGAGGAGAAACGGAAGAAAACAAGGAATGTGATCTTGGTACTATGTTACAGCTTTCGGAGTACCTTCAGGAACATAATCCATTTGCGCAAATATTCCGAAGGGTAAAAACTGTTATGGAACAACTGCAACCATCGCAACATAAGAATCTGCGAATGATTGTTTTCGCTGATAGAAGTTGTGATCAACGCCGATTCAATTTACCTATAGCAAATGATGTTGCATCCGAGGCTTTGCCTTGCTTCTTCACTGGACGGAAGAGAAGGATGAGGCATCCAAGGATCTCTTCTATGAGCGCTTGGAGCGCACGTACGAGCGCTGCCCCCGTCATGATATCAAAATCGTGCTTGGCGACTTCAATGCCAGGGTGGGCAAAGAAGGGATCTTTGGAACCACCGTCGGAAAATTCAGCCTCCACGACGAAACGTCCGACAACGGATTGAGGCTGATCCACTTCGCCGGGGCCCGAAACATGGTAGTATGCAGTACTAGGTTCAAGCATAAAAAGATCCATCAAGCTACCTGGCTGCCTCCGGATCGAAAAACGAGAAACCAAATCGATCATGTTGTGATAGACGGAAGGCACGCTTCCAGTGTTTTAGAAGTACGCACACTCCGAGGCCCAAACATCGACTCGGACCACTATCTTGTTGCAGCCAAGATACGCACCCGCCTCTGTGCAGCAAAAAATGTGCGCCCAAATATGCAAGGAAAGCTTAACGTCGAAAAGCTGCAATCACAACAGATAGCCAGCGCTTTCGCTACTCGACTCTCACACCTGCTCTCAGAGAGCACTCTTCAACAAACCGACATATGCGAGCAGTGGAACCACATTTCCCGCTCATTAAGTACCGCCGCCGAAGAAGTAGTCGGATTTCAGTGAGCCCGAAAGAACAACTGGTACGATGAGGAGTGTCAGGAAGCTGCAGAGAAAAAAGATGCCGCCTACAGGGCCACGCTGCGATCGGGCGCAACGCGCGCTATGTGGGACCGCTATAGGGATCTGAAGAGGGAAGCGAGACGTATTTGCCGCAACAAGAAGAGAGAGGCAGAAATACGTGAGTGCGAAGAGCTTGAAATGCTGGCCGACAGGAGGAATGCCCGAAAATTTTACCAGAGAGTTAGGTGACTTACGGAAGGTTTAAAGACCGGGGCGCACTCCTGTAAGAACAATAATGGCGACCTAGTAACTGATGTCCAGAGCGTACTTAAATTATGGAGGGAACACTTTTCCGCCCTACTAAATGGCAGCAGCACAGAAAGTTGTGGAGAAGAAGAACCCGAGCCCGCAGTCGATGATGACGGAGTCGACGTTCCACCGCCTGACTATGACGAGGTACGTATAGCAATAACGCGGCTGAAATAACAACAAAGCCGCTGGAGCTGACAGCCTGCCAGCTGAGCTATTCAAGTACGGCGGCGAGGAGTTGATAAGGTGCATGCATCAACTCTTGTGCAGAATATGGTCAGATGAACGCATGCCCGACGACTGGAATTTAAGTGTGCTCTGCCCAATCCACAAGAAAGGTGACCCCGCCATTCGCGCCAACTACCGCGGGATCAGCCTTCTAAGCATAGGTTACAAGGTCTTATCGAGCGTATTGTGTGAAAGACTGAAGCCCACCGTCAATGAACTGATTGGGCCTTATCAGTGTGGCTTTAGACCTGGCAAATCCACCATAGACCAGGTATTCACAATACGCCAAATCTTGGAAAAGACCCGCGAGAAAAGGATCGACACTCACCACCTATTTGTCGACTTTAAAGCCGCTTTTGACAGCACTAAAAGGAGTTGCCTATACGCCGCTATGTCTGAATTTGGCATCCCCTCAAAACTCATACGGCTGTGTAAAATGACGTTGAGCAATACCACCAGCTCCGTCAGAATTGGA